ATTACTTCTCCCAGCCTCCAGAAGGAAGAAGTCCTAATGGCACCTGGATTCCAGAGAGTTCAATTAATATTGTTGCCCTCCTGAAAGGGAAGGGAATAATTTGGTAGGCTTTTATCTCTCTCGCTCTCTCTCTCTTTTTTATTTTTTTTGGTAATTTTCAAGCAGCAACAGTAAACTAATAAAGCAATTCAATAAGTACCAGTTTCAAGGCAATCACAATCTGCAGATAATGCTCCGTCATTGGAGAGCTATTTGCTTATTTCTTTGTTTTTGTCAAGAACCTGCTGCAAGGGAATAAGGGGAAAACGACTTTCTGGTTACTAAAAAAGAAGTCAGACTTAGGTCCATCCATCTCCCTGGGGTGTAAGCTTCGGCAGATCACTTCAGTTCTTTTTATATTTAAACTGAGAAAAATTAAAATTGCCTTACAAAACTTGGGGATGATATGTTTACAGCTGTGTGTCCTTAGCAGAAGAACAGGTAAGGCATTTTATTTTACTTTAATCAGTATATCTAATTTGCACATCGTGTTGTTGCTTTGTACTCTTGAGTTGGTTCCAACTCATAGCTGTCCTCTGTATGACACATGAAACTCCATTCAGACCTAAGCAATCCTCACAATCGTTGCTGTATTTGAACCCACTGCTGCAGCTACTGGATCACCCCATCCGGTTGATAGTATCCTCTTCTACACTGACTCACTACTTTAGCAAGTGTTATGTCCTGCTGAACACATGTTCAAAATGTTTGAGTCAAAATTGTCAACCTTATTTCTAAGGAGCATTTTGGGGTTGTAGTCCTGCCAACAGAGATTGGTTCATTCTTTTGGAAGTTCAAAATATATTCAACATTCTTGATCAGTATGATAATTCAAATGCACCAATTCTTCATCAGTCTTCCTTATTAATTGTCCGGTTTTCACATACGTAAGAGGCATTTGAAAATACCATCATTTGGGCCAGGAACATGTAAATCATCAAAGTGATATAAATAGATCTTTCACAGAAAATCTGCCCAATGCAACATGTTGTTTGAATTTTCCAGCAGCTGCTTCTATGGGCATTGATTCAAGTAAACTGAAATCATTGACAATTTCAATCTTCTCTGTTTATCCTTATGTTGTTTACTGGTCTAGTTGTGAGAAGTTTGGTTTATGTTGAGATAAAATACCCAAGCCCCCCTGTCATTGAGTAGATTATTGTCAAAGCGACCCTATAAGTCTTTTTAAGGTAGACAAATTATTTTTCCCCCACAGTGGTCTAGTAGACATTACTTATGTATATATCTTTACCACTTTTAGGAAATCATACTTGAAAAAGCATACCAGTTATCTTATCATTGAAAGTCATTTATCTCCAATTGTTGCCTTGCTTGTGTGCTGCATTCTGTAGAAATATTAAATGATAAAACTACTTAGTAGTCTTAAAAATGCTGGATTCTCTCAAGATTCAGATTTGCTGCTGAGTTGCCTTTTCCTCCTAACATCATTTTCAGACTTTATAGCATATTGCAAATAAAAGTATTTTGAAATATTTTTAATTAGTATTTTCAAAGTAATTAAATCAAAATGAAGACACGGCACAAAACTATTTATAAATGTTTGACTTTGGATTTGGAATTCTTTGATTTTGAATTTGGAATTACTTATCTCATCCACTGAAATAATAATTTTGCTTCTTTCAAAGGATGTATGACAAATGAGAAATCAAGCAACAAATGACGTTTTATTCTAAAGTCTAATGGTTTGCAAAAAATGGTCTTTATATTATATTACAGCTGCTTTTCAACTTAATTTTCTCTTGATTAGAGTAATTTGCTTCAACATGATAAAACCACCTTTGGAAGTGAAAATCAATTTGTACTGTAGATTCAGAATTTGTCATTGACTATATAGTCTTCTTTATTTTAATTTTCTAAACAAATACATAGACTTTACATTTTATTAAATGAATTTTCACTAACACAGTCTTAAGAAAAAGGCAATTTGAATTTGTTCCTCTATCTTATCTTACTGGTTATCATTTTAATATTACAAATACTATATTTTGTTAATTGTTTATGTTGTAAATATTTCTTTTGTAAGAATTAATACCAGACAAGTCTTAAAGGTTGGAGATTGAAGATGTTCCCACGCACAGTTCTTCTGAGATGTTAGTTACCCTGCTCCATTTCCCCCTCACGTTTCCCTTGCATTTATTCCCTCATACCCCTGGGCTCTACAACTCTCTGCAGTGTCCTCCAGAGACTCACGAAACACATGCTGATAAATAGCCATTCAGTCCAAAATCCAAAGGTCATGAAGAGGCAAGCCAAAAGCAAAGTCCAGAGACAGAAAACAAAATTGTCCAAAAACCACAGCAGGTCTTCTTGCTTCTACCAAAGCTCAGTCAAAGCATACAGATTTAGCTTTCCAGGCAAGGCAATGTGTACATGAACGAGCATTTATAGACCCCAAAAGAAGGTGTCTTAAGTCACACACCCTCCACTAAGGTAAAATCAGAGATGCCCCAAAGAAAGAGAAGGTATTGCTTGGTTCACACCCTGCACTAAAGAAGGATCTTAAAGATGCTCCCAGGGAACAAAAGATGTGACTCAGCCCACACCCGCCACCAATGTCAGGTTTTTGTTTTGTTTTTTTAAACCTTTTATTAGGGGCTCATACAACTGGTTATCGCAATCCATACACACATCAACTGTGTAAAGCGCATTTGTACATCATTCTCAAAACATTTTCTCTCCACTTAAACCCCCGACATTAGGTCCTCATTTTTCCCCTCCCTCCCCGCTCCCCCTTCCCTCATGAGCCCTTGATAGCTTATAAATTGGTATTTTGTCATATCTTGCCCTATCCGACGGCTCCCTTCACCCACTTTTTGGTTGTCTGTCCCCCAGGGAGGAGGTCACATATAGTTCCTTGTAATCGGTTCCCTCTTTCCTACCCACTCTCCCTTTACCCTCCCTGTTTCACCACTCACACCACTGGTCCTGCAGGGCTCATCCGCCCTGGATTCCCTGTATTTTCAGTTCCTATCTGTACCAGTGTACACCACTCCACTCCTGTCCGTCCATCAGCATAGGAGAGAACGGCCTCAAAAATGGGACCTTGGCCACAGGTATAAAGAGCCCAGAACTATAATCTATTGTATAAAGAACCATGGCCATAAGGGTCATATTCACTGACCATAATTCAATTTCCATTTCACAATTAACTGAACATTTCCTTGTATCATGAGTCCATAAATCTTGTTCTTGTCATTAGGAGATTTATATAAAATTATTTGAAGACACATGCTTCAACCCTCTAAAGATTTGTGTTCATATGTGTTTTAGACAGTTGTCTTCCCATATACGAAGGCATTATTAACTCACTTTCTAAAAAAAAAACAAACCAGAAATAATATGGCAAACATTTTTTCTATTAGGAGCAATCCCCTCTCTACTCAATGGAAGAGACATTTTCTTGCTGCTGAGAGAATCTATAACTCTAGTCATCTGTAACTCTGTTATTCATTTTGCCCTTTAAGGCTTATAAAATTAAGTTTCTGTTAATACTTAGTGTACTTTTTCCTCTTCCATTTTTCCAAGGCCTATTAATTCTTATCAGTCTCTAGTAAAGGACATTTGGATCAACTTGAAATTTTAAGAAAATCATATATTTTCCCACACAATTTACATCAGAACCAGGATGAGTGTGAGCCAAGCCTCTGCATTACATGGAGGTAAACTGCTGCCCCAGGGACACTGAGGGTCCAGGTTACCAAGTACATTAACTCATTTACATATAATATGTGTATACCGTAATAAATTTTATGTTGAATAAGCTTATACATTTATTCACATCATGGACTTTGAGAACTATAATTTAGTTGAACAATAAAGGTTTCAGTAAGAAATATAGGAAATTGTAGCTACATAAGAGGAATATATCCCCGAGAAGGGGTCTCCTCTCCAAGGCAGCCTGCACTCCGAGGGTTCCAGCAGCAGCGCTAACACCCAGACGACTTCGTGATGATCGACTTCAAACCCGCTTTTTCAAAAGACGACATTCTCCCTACGGACCTGGGGACCTTCTATGGTGAATTTCAGAACCCCCCTCAGCTGAGCAGCCTTTCCATAGACACTGGGGCTCAGTCCATGGCTGAGGATTTGGACTCGACACCAGAGAAGCTGGCAGTGCATGAGAGGAGCGTCCGAGACAGTTTGATGCCTTCTTAGAAACCCTGCAGTTAGCGTTGGTGCCCTGAACACCCTCAGCATCCCCCGTTTTGTGGCCCCAGGGAACAGAGTGGCTGCCTCTTCAGCTGCTGCCGCTCCCAGCTGGTGCATAGGGACAGAGTCCTGCTCCTGCCAGTCCTAGAGAGACTCCCTGGCAGCAGCCAAGGCCAGTCATCACCCCCGCTGGCCTTAAGGTGGAAAAAACCCTGTAGCAAAGGGCACCAGCAGCCAGCCTCCTGTCTCTCCCCTGCCGAGAGCACCAACCACTGGACTTTCCTGCGGGTGACCCAGAGCCTGGCGAGGAGGCAGAAGGAGGAAGGAGATAGCGAAGGGGAAGGAGGGAGGGGCCTTGTAGTCCCTGGGCATTGACCCCTCTTCCAGTCCTCTCCACCCCCAGGCCTGCCCGCCCACCCCGGCATGCTCAGCCAGCCCGCCCCTGTCGCAGGGAATGCCGCCCAGCCTCCTCGTCGTCCTGGCGCCTGCCTGGGCCCAGCTCCCGACCCCCACAGTGAAAGCCCACTGCCCTAGAATGCTGACCCTGTGGGCCACCACAGAGGCCCTTTACCCCCTCCCCCTCCCCCTTGCTGCTCTTTGGTTGTAGAAACTAAATATTTGTTACTTTTCAAGAAGTCAGCTCTTTTTCTAGAGAAACCTGTTTGAGGTTAGCAGTTGTCCCTTGGGGAAGGCAGAGGGTCTCTCCCTGGAGCTGGACTTCCTCTCGCTGCCCCCAGGGGAGAGCAGCTCCAGGGGCCGCTGCACCTGAACTGACAGTGAGCCAGCTGTACCTTGGACGCCTCGTTTTCCTGTGGCGCCTCTCTTCTTCACCGCTTCTGGCAGCTCCGTCGTCTCAGGGACTCCGTGTGGAGATGGCTCTGCTGCTTGGGGCGCTAGCCGAGCCCGGGGCCTCCGCTGTGGACCTTCCTGTCCTGCAGGGCCTGGCCGGCCGCCCTCTAGCCCCAGGCTCCTCACACTGCCCTGGGCCCATTGGTTGGATTGGTTCCTGTTGAGAAACCAAAGCTGGGCCCCTGAGGAATACTTCAGCTGTTGTTACTTGATAATGTCAACAAGGGCCTAGCCTTGGCCACCTGCCATCTGTCCCCCTCACAGCCTAACTGGAGCCCTGGGCCTGTCTCCTCCCTCCGGCCTGCCCCTGTTCTTGGGCAGCAACTGCCCTTCCATGGCACAGGTGGCTCTCTCTCAACTGCTTGTTAGGAACCTGCACGTGACATGTGATGCTGCTCCCACCTGTGGGGCTGACCTCCAGGTCAGTAGGGCGGAGCCAGGCCCAGCACAGGCGCTCTGCTGCCGCAAAGAAACACCCCAGCTACGCTGTCCGACTGTCCTAGGGCCAGGGCTTCCTGCTAGACCAGCCCACATTCACCCGACAAGTTACTGATGGCCCCCGCTCTCAGAGCTCTTGCATGGAAAGGCCTGTGCAGGCAACAGCCCTCTGACAGGAGCCCAGGGAAGCAGCGTCCTGACCCCAGCTGAGTCTGGAACGGGCACAGACCAGCTCCTGCAGCAGCTGGGCCAGACACCTGTCCCAGGTGGTAGCACTCCTTCCCCAGCCCACCCTGTTTGGAAATACTGAGCTCCCATTTAAAATGTATGCAAAGAGATTTCCAATAAACTGTTTTACTTCAGAAAAAACAAAAAGAGGAATATATAAAGTACATATCATGGCGGGTTATTTTCTAGGAGAAGTATAGTTATATAATCAATGCTATTAAAGAAATTAAGAAATTTGAGTTTTTTAGCATAATTCTTAATATACTGTTATATATTTCCTGAAACTGATTTTTTTTTCTAAATTAAATTCTGTAAAAAATATTTTAGAGTTTGACTACGTTTATCAATGTCCTTATTCTATGTTAAAGTAATATTGAACAAATAAATATCAGAAAGTTCTTAATTACATGTGTTTGGATAATAATTGATACAATAAGATTCCAGGTTTGTATGAAAATTAATTGAAAATACTTAATAGACAAGCTTCAATTTGTAAAGTATAGCCTATTTGTACTACCTCAAAGTCAACATTAATCTTTAGACACTTTTTATGTTTGTATAAGTTCAATCATTATAAATGTAGCCCTTTGCCTATTCATTAGCAATACAAAATAAGAGCAGAATAAATAACTGCTCAAATGACTGCTACGATGACTACTTCTTAAATTTCCTTACCTGTGCAGACTATATCTGTTCTGCTCCCCTTTGCTCTAGTTGCCTACATTGTTAAGGAACATGCATTTTGACCTAAAAAGGAGCCCTGGTGATGTGTGCTATTGAGTGGCAGCCGCTCATAAAAAACGGTTAGTGGTTTGAACCCATCCATTGGTTACAAGGGAGAAAAGGTTGGCCTTTTGCTTCTTGATAGCACTGTTGGATACATTAGTCTGCTAACCACCAGGTCAGAAGTTCAAATTCAGTAGTCACACCATGGGAGAAAGATGAGGCTACCTGCTTCCAATTGATTTACGGAAAGCCTGTAGAGGGTTGCTATGAACAGGGATGAACTTGATGGCTGTGAGTTTGAGTTTAAATGCTGCACTTTACGTTTACGTGAGGAGGTATAATTCACGCTTATGTAAACACACACACACACACAAGCTTCATAAGCTGCAAAGCAAAGTGGTTTGGCTTTCATATTGTTAACACAAGATTTTATGTATTTCAGCTACTTTATAAAGTAGTATTTGTGCTCAACAAAAAGCTCTGGAGTTCACTGTTCTAAAATTTTTGAAAATTAAAAAACTGAGTTTATTTTAAATTTGCAAAGCTTTCTTACCACCTTGTCATTGCTTTTAGTGACATCTGACAAGATAATTATGATCAATGCATCACCAAAGAGAAAACAAGGTTTTAACAGACAGCATCTTTCATCAAAATCAAATGTTACATCTACTGATTTGTCTTAAAATGAGGAGAGAAGATGTAAATTAATTCTAACTCAACTCTTAATTGGAAAATAGAATGGAAAAAAGGACAAAAGCTGTAAGAAGCATCTGTAACATGTTTGGTAATAAGGAATTTATTATACACATGCACGCCTTGCAATACCTAATATAGGGAAACTAAAAAATCAAATCAAAGACACTACCATCGAGTTTATTCTAACTCACAGTGACACTATAGGGGTTTTAGAGTCTGTAAATCTTTACTAGAGCAGCTAGTTTAAACCTCCACAGATTGGCTGGTGAGTTTGAACTACTGACCTTGAGGTTAGCAGTCCCATGTTTCCCGAAAACATTACCAGGGAAACTTTAGGATAGTGGTAGATAATTAAAATGGTATCAAACATTTACTGAGATTCTATGTTTCAGATTCTCTGTGTCAGGTATTTTGTTTGGGACTTCATATATGGAATGTACAGGAAATCACAAGTGTATATGATATCATTATAGCTATTTAGAGAAAAAGTATTCTAATAATTAGAAAAATAATTGACTAAATTGATCACAGTTAGCAAGTTACAATTGGAGGATCTAGATTTAGTCACAATATGATCTGAAAGCCGGCTATTCATCATCAATACTGTTCCTAATTAATATTTATTTATTTTCTTTGACTCATTTTTTTCTCAGTGATTCAAGAAATCTAATGCAAATTCTGTTCTAGTTTTTTGTTTCGTTTTGTTTTTAGAGGAAAAAGTGAACTCAGATGATAAAAAATTGTATGTGGAAAGTTCACTTCAATAATTTTCTCCTTTATCAGGTATCAAGGTAATCCAGACACGGCATCTGATTGTCCAGGGAGTGTGGAGAGAGGTTTTCTTCTTATCCAGTGCCATGGACCTGCTTCGTCCATCTCCTTTTGTCCTCGCCAGCAGCTTGGTCACCATGCCGAGAGAAAACCATCCTAAATATTACTGTTAGTCCTCAACTTGGCCTTCATTCCAAAATAAGAGATGGCCTTCTTAATCAAGGTAAGTATATAGTTGAAATAACTTGATGAGCCTTAGAGTTCTGTCCATAAATTCTATGAAGACATTGAATCACTGAAATGAGGAGAAACATATAGATATGGCTATGGATATAAAAAGTTACATGAAAGCAATGTGCTTTGGGAAAGAGTGGGTCCACAGAATCTCAAAATATTAATGAAAATAAGTTAAGAAAATTTTAATTTTGTTCAGGACAGTCATTCTGTGAACTTAATTTTCCTGGTATTCTAACAAAAATACTGTTATCATCAATTTAACAACATAAATTAATGTTATGTGTTATTTAGAAAAATATGAGTCAATATTTGAAAGAATATTTATGATTAGGTATATAAGAATCTTTTTAAGCAAAATTGCATCACACCACAATTGGGTATTTCTCTGGGGAAAAAATGGAATGGAAATTTCTAAATTATCTATTTAGAAAACAATTATAAATAAGAGATCTTGCTCTGTAAGAACAGAATCTACATATAACCTCCTCCATGGGCTATGGACAATAGAAAAGTGGGTGAAAGGAGACGTAGGACAATGTAAGATATGACAAAATAATAATAATTTATAAATTATCAAGGATTCAAGAGGGAGGGGGAACAGTGACGGAGGGGGAAAAAATGAGGAGCTGATACCAAGGGCTCAAGTAGAAAGCAAATGTTTTGAGAATGATGATGGCAACAAAATGTACAGATGTGCTTGACACAATGGATGTATTTATGGATTGTGATAAGAGTTTATGAGCTCCCAATAAAATGATTTTTTTTAAAGAAAAACAATAGAGTTATCTTGTATCAGACCAATCTTCCTAGAAGTAACAACAGTCTCCATTAAATATACACAATAAATAAAATACAGTAGAACCCATGACCTCGACGCTAATCTGTTCCAGAAGGAGCGTCAAGATGCGATGCAATCGAGTTCTGGATCAAATTTTTCCCATAAGAAATAGCTGAAAATGGATGAATCTGTTCTCGACCACCAAGATATTACCCTATCTTGCCTTTTTATACAAAACATTACACAGAAATTTCAAAGCAATTCAGTTAAGAGTTCAATAATATAATTTAAATAGGAAACACAATATTAAAAATGTTTTTAACAACTATAGTATGGCCGATACCTGGAGACTGGCTGGCTTTCTCTTTAAAAAAAAAAAATCTGTCAAATGTGGTCTGCTGTTTGCGTTTCCTTAACTGTTTTCTAAAAGGCTTGACCAAATTATCATCAACAACATGGATAACATGGTTAACCAGTTTCTTATCATGATGAGTCTTTTCAAAAACCTCTTTCTTAGGGCCCATATATTTTATCTGAAAGCAGGACAAAAAGCCACAAAAACTAAGAAAATTACAGCAAAACACTTGGCACACAGCTGCAAAAGGTTTAAACAACTCGTACTAACAACACCCACTAACGCCGAGTGACCAAACATGAACTGTTTTTGTTTACAAAAATCACGTGTGTCAGGTCAGATTCTGATGCTTTGTTCAAGCGCCAATGCAAAATTTTCATGATATTTAGCATCGAAATCTGATTAGGTCAAGTACCGCGGCAGTCAAGTACCGGGGTTCTACTTTATAGAAAATCTTAATAAATAACGGCAAATTGTAGTTAAACAGCCAAGCAAATAAACAAAACATCTGTTTGAAAGTGCTAGGGAAAACAATGGTCAGGAATGGACTCACCAATCTCCTAAAGGAATGGGAAGCACCTGAAGGTGACCCAATTTTATCTCTGATTTTGTCTCATTGGACATTTCCTTTTTGCTTGTTTTTTTAAAATACTTTTATTGGGGGCTGTTCCATCTCATCACAGTTCATACATTCATCCAGTGTGTCAAGCACATTTCCACATATGCCGCCATCATCATTTCCAATGCATTCTCTTCCCACTTGAGCCCGATAACAGTGCCCCATTTCTTCACCCTCCCTCCCCCAACTGCCCTCCTGCACGAGCCCTTGATAAGTCATAGATTATTATTTTCATCTCTTACATCGTCCTCCATCACTCCTTCCCCACTTTTCCATTATTTGTCTCCCTGGGAGGGGGTTATAGATTGATCCTTGTGATCAATTCCTCCTTTCTCCCCGCACCCTTCCCTATTCCTCCTGGTATCTCTACTCTCCTTGTTGGCCCTGAGGGGTTTACCTAACCTGGATT